GGAAAGAGGGAGAAAGGGGAAGGGGGGGAAGAAAAAGAGAAACTAACTGTCTGCCCAAAATTCGCTCAGCTGAACAACAGCAGAATAAAAATGAAAATACAGATCTCTCAGATCTTTCCCTTTGCAGTACCAGTCGTTCCACATAAATTTTTAAGTAGCAACATGTGGCTCCTATTCACCTGGAAAATCCAGTATACTGGCATATCCAGCAACCCATGGAGACACTGGCCCCTTGCTGTTGCCTGCTTTACTCCTCTTGCATCAGGAGACAACATATTCTTACTCATCTGAATAGACCAGTGTTTTGTAAAATGAGAATATGAGCAAAAGCAAAATAGTGGAGAAAAAACAGTCAACAAAATATTTCTCAGTAGTGGGGCTTGAGTTTTTAAAATCAGTGCAGCAAGAAACCCCTTCAGGGTTGGGACAAACAAACCTTGCTTGTTATGCTAATTCCCCAAACTAGAATTACATGTACTGCCTGTACAAAAAAGTAAAAAAAAAATAAAAACCTATCTGTAAAATAGATGGATCTCTCATTCGGACACTTAGCAGAACAAAATTCTATTCTAGCCCTCAAGTCAGCCCTGGGAAACTTGGTTTAATGACCCAGCTAATTTTGTAGTTTCTACTGCTCAAGTTGAGCCCTCTTCTGTGCATCCCTACAGGTGTATGGGGGATTAATGGGTTCCTGAGCAATGGATCAGAGCCTGCAATAGAGCCTTGGAAGCTGCTGCCATGTTCTACTGCTTACATACAGAGCTACTTGGGCCCCTGCTTAACACACCACCTTCCATGGGGCCTTTGTGTGAAAGCCATTTCTGATATTCAAATGAGCAATGGAAATGCTCAGCTCTGCATCACCACTTTGATGCCAGGCATCCTGCTCTCCATTCTGGCTGGGCAGCTCCTCCAGTGGCAGTGAGCACACTACTCAAGCATCCATCCAATATGGAATACAGCCCTGTCTGCTGTATAATGGAACTAGGGAAGCACCAATGTTTCCTTTTTCTTTTTTTTCTCTCTTGAAGTTCAGTGATTATTTTTCCACAGACTATATGCAACAAGGTAATAAATACCTTGGGCTGTTGATACTCAACCCAAATTCAAATTTTACCTGAAGATAGAAATGCATTCCTTTAAACCCTGCCTTAAAAAATGCCTTGAGGCTCCCAACACTCATTGCTGTCCCCAGATGTAGAAGAGAGAACACACACATCCCTTTATAATACTCAAGAAAATTGCTAGCTACTAATATTGCACCTCTTTAGACTTCTTCATCTACTCTTAGCACTTCTTTTTACCTAGTAGTGAAAACTTTTGGATTTTCATCTTTTGGAGGCCGGTCTAATTTTTACTCTCTTGTTTATTTGCTTGTCAAATGATGTCTTCTATTGCACCTTAACCTCCTGCAAGTGAAAATGTTTGTAGCTCAAAACCTGTAAGTGGACAAGCAGGTGATCCTGGGGAAGACTGAACCCATGCGAAGTAGGTGTTTCTTCTAGGTCACACTAGATAGGCTTTTCCACCTCTCTCACCAAGTTATCCATGTATTACTGAGAAGAACTATAGCTGTGGAGTACCAAATGGCTCTAGAACTGGAGGCACAGAAGTTGTTCTAAGAAAGTAATTTTTCAGGGGGAGTGGTTTGGGAAGTTCTGGCAATTACATGTTAACCTGAAAGGCAATATTTATTTTGCAGATCTACGATCTGGCAGTCCTGAAAGCAGTTCTGGAGACAAGAAAGTGTCAGAGGGTGCTATCCACTATTCCAGTGAGTGTTTCTGCTTTATTCCCCAGCTCTTGAGTTTTCAGTTGTTGATCAGTTTGGCTTTCAATGAGTGATTGTAGTAGCAGAGAAATGAAACGGGCAGTTTCATTTCTAGCCTTACCAGATGTAGCCCCCATTAGAAACCCAATTTAACTGCCTGTTACAAAACTCTCAAAAAGTAACAGAACTTAAAAAGCTGACACGACTCTCACTGGAGACCAGTACAATTATCCCAAGGGCTGAAGTCAAAGTAGTAACACTGAAAAAAAAAGAAGAACAGAGTCGTTTTCTGTGGGAGAAGACAAAAGAAAACATGAAAATATTGTTCATATACTATTATAAGTATTTATTATATGAATATATTGTTTTGGCTATATTATTTTAATATGCTGTTCATACTGTCATGAGAGAGAAGGACTAGGAGGGAGTCTGCTTCAAACTCCTCAAGCACTTGATATTTGCATGATGCATGTTATTTAATCTTTTATTTTAACATTATGCACCTCTAGGGCAAGAGTGTTGTGGCAAATCTGCTATTTCCTACCCAAAGTACTGGCTTAGCAGAATGCGTTCGATGTTTTTCCACTGTAACATTGTCTCTGGGTTCTCCCTCTAGTTCCACAGATGCACATGCACATCTATATGAATATTAAATACTAATTGCATCAAGAGCCATCAAAGATGCTATTTCTAAATGTTGGGCGGGTGTGATGGCTGATGGTGAGGAAGGCTGCAGGGATGCAGCCCAGCCTCCTCCAACACAGGGCTTAGGCCAGCAGGCAAGAGAGCACCTGCTAGATTTCAATGTGGCTGATTGCTACCAGGAAAAAAAAAAAAAAAAAGGGGGG